TGTGGGTACTACTGACTGCATGTTTTCTGTCTGGAAATGGCTGCCAATAGCGGTCAAAACTGTCATCAGGGTACCTAAGTTTGAATGTAATGAAGAAAATGAAGTCAGAGATCTACAGAACTTTCTCACAAGAAAAAACTACATAAAGCTTCTAATTCGTAGTCCTCTACAAATGGGAGAACGGAAGAAAAGGAAAACATATATGATATAGGCCGACACACTTCTTTCCTTTTTGTACTTCATTTAGTGAGCATCTTTTTAACAAGTACTTATTTGTTCCTTGGAATAAACTTGTAAAGTTCTAATCACTAGTGCATGCACATGTTTCCTCGAAAAAGTAATGAGAAAATAAACCTCAGATCAGAAACAGCTGAAACCTAGAGCTATTCACTTCACAAAGAACTGGCCCAACTGGTACTATCTTGTGATAAAAACTGGTATATGCCTGATCGACAGCATTCTCAGCCATATCGACAATGAGTCAGTTCTGCAGTCCTAATTCCTAAACCTACTCAAATTATGGGAAATCACAGAACATCTACTAGCACTTCATCACTAAAAGGGCACTGAAATCACGGCCAGAGAAGTCGGCACTCACCTCTCGACGTCGCCAGTCGAGCCAAACTTGGTGCGCGCAATGAGGCCCATGGCGCTGCCCGTGAAATCCGTGGCGTTGTACACCGAATCATGGAGCTGGATGACCTGCAGCGCGTTGATGAACGGGCCGGATTTCGTGTAGTCGGGGTTGACGCCAAGGCAGAAGGTCAGGTTCCTGCCCCTGGCCGGGAACACGGCCTCGTAGTGCGAGGCGCTGCCGGCCAGGACGTCATCGGCGGTGTCGACGGCGGTCCAGAAGGTGCCGTCCACGATGAGGTCGAACACGGGCGGGGCCGTCGAGGTGGGGCCGTAGAAGAAGGTGGGGCGGAGGAGGTAGCGGCGGTTGGGGTCGACGGGGAGCGCGTAGCAGAACTTGGCGTTGGTGCGGTACGGGAAGGCGCGGAGGGAGGCGAGGGCGGGGTCGAGGAGGCCCTGGACGGAGAGCGGGCGGGCGGAGCCGGCGGAGACGTAGGGGCCGTCGGGGTCCCAGCGGAGGCCGCGGCTGTCGGTGGAGGAGCTCGCGGCGCCGCAGTCGAGCTGGTAGGAGAAGCCGCGGAGTCGCTGGCCGGCGGCGAGGGGGAGGAGGAGGAGGAGGACAGCGGCGGCGGCGGCGGCGCTGAGGAGAGGCCGCATTCTGGTGAGCCTTGCTGTTGCCGGAGGATTTTGGGCGGAAATGGAGGGGAATTGGGATGGTTTCGTGCTGGGCGGGTGGGTTGACTCGACCGGCGGGGAAGGTGGGCGCGGTCAGCGGAGAACGGGCGGCGGATGCGCATGCGCGTTCCCGGCGGCGGGTCGGGCCGTAGGGCTCGGCTGGGTCACGCGGATCCGCGGACATTTTTTCCAGCTCAGCTTTGTTGTCCTTTTTTTAAGAAAAATTTAGCAGGAGAGCTGCTAAGATTTCATTGATTGGAGAAGAGGTCGATGGCCAGAAACATGAACAACATATAGACAGAAAAACACACAAAGAATAAGAAAAAAAGATTTTTTTATTATTTTATTTCATTAATCAAATAGTGTATTCCCTCTGTAAACTAATATAAAAACGTTTATAGATCACTAAAATAGTAATCTAAACGCTTTTATATTAATTTACGAAGAAAGTACAAATTAGACGAGACTTTGCTGACTCATCTAGATTAAAATTAACAAATTCGAAAAAAGAAGACGCCGGCTGCAACAAAAAACAACCAGCGTGCTCTACTCCTTTCGAAAAATAATTCTATGAGACCGGGTCTCTTTTGCCATCCCTTGGGAACCCCTTTTTAGAAAGGTGCCACGTGTTTTCTCACCAATCTCTAAGTACTCTTTCTTTTTCAAGTCCTCTTTTCCCCCAACACTTAATCACATCTGTAGTTGGCACCATAGTCGATCTCCTCTTGGACCGCATCAACCATGCTAACTGGGGCGAACCGAGTGAGCACCAATCCACAAAAAGCAACCATATGACAAAGAGATGCGAGCTCTCATTACAGACCATAATTGTGGTAGCAGTACCCATGGTCGTATGGGAGCATCCACAACGAACTCGTCCTATATTAGCCATCGGACAGCATCCACAACGCCATGCGCCGTCCTCCCGGGGCGATGGAAATGAAGGCGCCCACGGTTTTCCGCGTCTCCGGGCTCGAGCTGGACGGCGTGCCGCGACTCTCCTTACCGTTGTCGCGCTAAACATGTTCCAACCAGCGTCCCTAGTGCACACCGACTTGGCGTGTTTTGATGCCGCCGAGGCCGCCCTGCCTCGTGTTGCTCGGCGGCGTCTAATGGCTAGCTACATCCATTAATCCGAAAAAGGGCCTGCCCAGTTGAGGCCAATGCTACTAACGCACCTACATCATTACACGACGAACAAAACGTTGGATGCATCGCCGTTCACCGGTAATTTGTGTTAATTTAGACGCACCTAGTAGCGGTGAGGTCATTTGTGTTAATTCAGATGACCTGATAGGTCCGCGAATGTTGGAGGGCTCCGTGTGCGAACCGCACAAATCCGTACGTTTACACGTGATTTGACGTACATAATTGGAGATGCCCTAGGTGGCAAAAACATTGTGCTCAAAATACAATTTGGTCCATGTTCGGTTTATGTGTTATTTTTTGTTGCTAGCACCCAATTTTCACGACGGAGGGTGCAAAGCCGTGGCCGACTCGGAGGTTTTCGCGGGAGGACGCGTGAGGTGTTCGTGGGAAGACCTCATCATCCTACTGTCGTTCCTGTGATGTCGTTTGGTATCGATCGAGGACACGTGAAGCTTCATCCAGGGCCAGAATTTGGGCCTTGTTTTTTCTCTTCATTTTTGTGTAGATGATCGACTTCCCCCCACGAAGGGGAAGATGTCGCACATTTTTTGTTTGGTCTCCTTCTTCGTCCGATGAAGCTCATCGAGATGGAGCTTCGTCGGGGAACTTGCAAGTTTTGTGCCTCCCTCCCCTGTTTGGACGGAGTTGGGATTATCTCCGGGCCCTACTCGGTGCTAGCTTCTCAAGGTTTGCGGTCTGTGTAGATCATGACCATCGACATCTTCTAGTCTACGTCGACGACTTCCCAGCCGATGTTTCGTCAAGCTCCTGGGTTTCAACAAGATTGCTCTACTGAGACAGAGGCAGAAGAAAATCGGTGCTTATTTCTTTAAAGACTTGCTTGTAGTTTCTTGTTCTTGGATGCAAGTTTTTCTTTTTTGGTAAGGGCCGGTTTTATCTAATATACGACCTTGGGCCTTTCCGCAAAGGAAATAAAAGGAGGAGAAAGTTGAGGACCAACGGGCCCGGTTGCACTTGCACTTGCACTGTGGGCATTTGCAGGGTTGCGTTGCAAACATACCAAGGGGAGTGGGCGCACATCGCAGCAGGTTCAATCCCGTCCCTTGTGCACACATCCGATGGCCGGGCAGCAGGAAGAGAGCAGTCCAACGCAGAAACGGGCACGAGGTTCACATGACGAAGCTACGCCTGGAGATGGACCGTGCTTCACTCGCTGATATGTTGAAAGGGCATGAGAAAAATCTACCGGCAGCAGGACCTCTTGTAGAGGAGACAAGGGGATGATGAAGATGTTCTAAGAAGTGAATGTGTCGTGGGTAATAAGGCGTAGCGCAAATTCTGCCGCGGGTATAATAAGTTAGCTGAAGTACTCAGTAGACTTGAGCGATGAACTTTCGCAAGGGCCTGGTTTTCTGTTGCTCCAGATTGTATCCTGGGGCAGTATTTGATCCAAAAACGAAGACGCAGAGGCGGGCACGAGGTTCACGTGGCGAGCCAGCGAGCCGCACCTTGGCGCCACCGCGTCCAAGTGTGGAAGATGGCGGACTGACCAAAGACCGAGGACGGAGCAGCAGCAGAGCCAGAGTAGACCCTCGCGCCGGCCGGTCTCTTCCGGTCGCCCTCGCCGTCTCCACCTACCCACACCCAGCGCCAGCGGCGACCCTCGCTCCGGAGGGCTCGTCCCGCGCGCGCGCACGATCGATCCATGGCGCCACCACCACCCACCCACCCCACGGCCACGGACCCACCCAAACGGAAAACCCAAACGGCTCGTTCCAACGTACTGCGCGGATGCCGGAAGCGAGATACGCACGCAGCGCATCAAGGTAAATTTGACAATTTTAACATGTGAATAAAATCATTTTATAAAATAAACTGCTTCTAAAAAAATTCACTCAGCTGACCTTTTTAAGTGGCGTCCGACACGAAGGCGCCACACCACACCGTGCAGCGTCCGACATGCCTAGCCAGCATCGCATCGGATGATCCAAAAATTATTAAGTTAGTGTGCAGCGCCTAGCGTCTAGGCGTTGCATTAGTGGAGCAACCACTAGTGCAACGGCTAGAGGCTAGGCGCTGCACATTTACCTAGTAATATTTAGGCAGTCCGAGGTACGATGCTGGTCAATCGTTGCACGGTGTAGTGTGGCGCCTTCGTGTCAAACGCCATTTAAAAAGATCAACTGAGTGAAATTTTATTGGAAACGGTTCATTTTGTAAAATGATTTAATCCACAAGTCAAAATTGTCAAACCCCGAAACGGCGAAACCAGACTGCCGTGCCGTGCCCTGCCGTGCAGCCGTGGGTACGTACGTGACTCGTAGTGGCCTGGCTGGCTCGCAGGTAGCCGCCACGCTGGCCCTCCTCTGCTGTGACGTCCCCCTCTTCTCCTCCTCCTCCTCCTGCTGCCTACACACACCCCGCGCCCCGCCCCCCTTTCCCTCCCTCCTCGCTGGAAGGAAGGTACGCCCGCCGATTACTACTACTTACAGGCTGCTTGGACCCCGCGACGAGCCAGCCAGCCAGCAACAGACCAGCAGCCAGCCGAGCGCGCCGAGTAGGGAGGGAGAGGGAGAGCCTGCCTTGCCTGGCCGAGATTCCTCTCGGAGTCGGGCTCGGGGGATCTCGCCGGCCGCTACGCGATGGAGGGGGAGGACGGCGGCGGCGGGGTGGACTGGGACAGCCTGGCCGAGGCGGCGTCGGGGGCCGTCGGCGCGCTCGTCAGCACCACCGTGCTCTACCCGCTCGACACCTGCAAGACCAAGTTCCAGGCCGACGTCCAGACGGACCAGGGCGCGCACAAGTACAGGTCAGTCCCTCCTCTCTACCCCTTCTCCTGCGTCCCCGGCTTAACTCCGTTGCGCTCTGCTGTCCGTCTGGAATTCTGGATATAAGGTGATCGCAGGCTCGAGGACCGGAATTTGGGTCCTCGGTCGAGTGCGAGTTCGGATCTGGGGGACTGGATTCTGCAGACGATGATTGGGATACTCCGTGGATCGTTCTGACAGCTAGGAATATCCTGCGTTAGATGTGGAAGGGTTGGTTTCTACATGAGCCGATCGTGGATTCAGTAAATCAGTATCTCGTTAGGCCCAAGTTTTTCGTATGGTGAAGGGCAAAGAGTTACCCACTTGTGGTCTTTGCACAAGTTGCTAGGACTGTAGTTTTGGTAATCACCACATTAATGGATTGTTAATCCATTTAAGGTTTACAAGGAGTTCGTTTAATCTAGAAATTGTACAAATCTGCATGCATGATTACTTCAGGTCGTGAAATAAGGAAGGAGCTTGGGATTCAGTTCCAAGCAACAGGGCTAGGTTGATTTCTTACAAGCTCTAGAAATAGTGAGATGGATCATTGTTGTAATTTGTAAAGCTGTAAAGGAAAGTAGTTTAGCCAAAATAAAAGGATCATACCCGTGAAGGTGTTTCCTTGCCGATCACCTAGACCTAGTAACTGAAAAGTGGCGTAAACAATACAATATCATACACTAGTAAAAGAGATGTGTTGACCTTAATATTTTGGCTAGTTGAGATGTTTGATTGGCTGCATTTGTGTGCTCTAAAAAGATTTAAAAGGTTTTTGAGCTTATGAAGATTTATCTTCTCATGTAGTATGTCCTCCCCTTTATGTTTTTCGGTGAACGAGATTTCACTGCATGCTGTTACATCTCTAGCATAAAATTCCTTTTCATCATATACGTTGAACTTCTCTAGTTACTCATTGTACATACTAACTGGCCTCATGACTTTTCAGGAACCTTTCAGATGTCTTTTGGGAAGCAATTAAGAAAAAGCAATTTTTGTCCCTATATCAGGGCCTTAAGACGAAGAATATCCAGTCGTTCATTTCGCAGTTCGTTTACTTTTATGGCTATAGCTATTTCAAAAGACTCTACCTGGAGAAGAGTGGAGCTAAGTCCATTGGAACAAAAGCCAACTTGTTGATTGCAGCCGCTGCTGGTGCTTGCACAGTTGTTGTGACACAGGTAGCTAGTCCTATAGATTCTTGAAAAACAGTTTTAGCTGCCTGATCTTATACTCGTTTTTCTCACCATTTCAGCCATTAGATACGGCATCTTCTAGAATGCAAACAAGTGCTTTCGGAAAGTCCAAAGGGCTGCGAGCAACTCTCGCGGAAGGTACTTGGCTTGAGGCATTCGATGGCTTGGGCATTTCCCTCTTGTTGACATGCAATCCTTCTATTCAGGTACTAACTTCTGCATCATTATTGTACGGCATATCTTGTGGAACTTAATGTTGGTCCTCTGAGTTACATTGTCCAACTATGTCATTTTCTGACTACATTGTTCGAGTAATTTTTGGTAAAGAGATATGTAGATGCTTCAATCCAATTGAACAATTTTTGTTTGAACAAACATGGGAGCCATCACAAACAAAACATTCAGCTAGGGCAAAATTCTTGGAATGTTGTCTGGTTGTACTATGATGTACATGTAAATACCATTGCAGTTATCTATAACTTTAATGGAGCTCTCGTACAGTCGTACCTTCCATTATAGAACTTGGGATAATATCTAGAACAAACTACAAGGAACAACTTCAGAACTTATCTGTGGATGCGTGTTGTTGTCCATGTCTCCCACTAGAGCAAGTGCATATACCAAATTATTTAGGCCTGTAAACTGGTGTGAATCATTGGCCTCGTGATTTTCACCTTCTTGATTCAGTCAATAAATTTAGCTCGCCAGGAGGGGGTGGCATTTGCATACGATTTTGATGGCATTTTTAGTTTGAGGGGATGGCAGTTTCTTCAGAGTGACATGACAGTTTCTGTGAGAGAAGGTAATTTTCATTTTTAAACTGCCATTGTTTGATCTCTTCAGAACTAAAACTGCCATCAAAAGGGGTTCGCTTGCCACCCCTCTCCCAGCGGCCAGTCGTCAATTAACTTTCCCGAATTATTTAGGTCTGCAAAATGGTGTGGATCATTGGCCTCGCGATTTTCACCTTCTTGATTCAGTCAATAAATTCTCGATGTTTTGTAGTAACTGTAGAGCCTTCAAACATGTTTCAATATTGTTGAGTATGTAGTGTCTGCATTACCATATTTAAAGTGAAAAGTAGCAGTGTATTCTTAATCTGAATACAACCTTAACGGTACTGCTCTTGGGTGTAACTTGTAACGTTATAAGCTTTATTTTCTTTTCCTTTTTCGTGCACGAGATAACAACTGTTTTATGTGCAATCCTTTGCAGTACACCGTGTTTGACCAGCTTAAGCAGAAGCTAATTCTGAGGCAGACGCGTAAAAACGCAGAATCAGCGGGTGATTCTTCCCCGGTTGCTCTTTCTGCTTTCTCGGCATTTCTCCTTGGTGCCATCTCAAAAAGTGTTGCAACAATCTTGACTTACCCATTAATCAGGTATGGAAACTTTACTTTGCCAGCACTTGTTATCTGGACTTCTCCACTTGCTTCTGCTTGTTAGTGCTGCCTATAAAGTATAAATTCAACCGCCACTGCAATTATATGATGCCATTTTTCAAACAGGTGCAAGGTCATGATTCAGGCTGCAGACCCCGATGAGGACGACGAGGACGAATCTGAAAAGCCAGGCAATTCAAGGCCTCCCAAAACAATGTTGGGCGCCATGCATGCAATGTGGAACAAGGAAGGCATCCCAGGGTTCTTCAAAGGGTTACATGCTCAGATACTAAAGACAGTTCTGAGCTCCGCATTACTGCTGATGATAAAAGAGAAGATTTCAAAGTTCACTTGGATCTCGCTGCTTGCCCTGCGGCGATATCTCTTTGTTTCTCGGAAGAGAATCAAGAGTGCATAGTTGTATCATGCATATGTCAGACCTGAGAAAACCAGTCTAATCGACCACTGGTATTTCAAGATCGTATTATACCAAATAACAGAAGTACAGAAGCAGAACAGCACGATCATCTTGAGAGCGCCATGGAATGTTCTGAATAAATTTGTTTGTTTTTCCATGTAGTAGCTCTGAGCATCTGATTCGTACTTGGAATGTAATGGAATGGAGTGGAATAGGTGTTGTCCAGAAGTAGTTCTGGTGATGTGATTGTGGTCTGGTAGACTGGTACCATACGTGTAAAATATCACTTTTGTTCTATTCTTTCTTTCTTTGCTGGAATTGAAGCAATAGCAATAAATCTCCCATGTTGTGAATTTCGCGCCCTACCCTAAGGCTTCATGCCGAAAGAATTTTCGCTTGGCGCTTGCAAATTTTGCTTTGGCACTGGCACGCGGATCGCCGGGACGAGCAGGAGGTCGGAGCGCCGCCGCGTGGTGAGCCCCATCAGCTCGGCCATGTCCAGCTCCCCGGGCACCGTCCCGTCCGGCAGCTCCCAGTCGAAGCGGTAGAGAAGGCTGGCGAGCGCGAGCTCCATGTTGGCCAGCCCGAACGCCATCCCGGGGCACATCCGCCGCCCGGCGCCGAACGGGATGTACTCGAAGTCCGTGCCCTTGAAGTCGACGCCGCCGCCCTCGAACCTCTCCGGCGAGAACTCCTCCGGCGAGTCCCAGTGCGCCGGGTCCCTGCCGATCGCCCACGCGTTGACGAGCACCATGGCGCCCGCCGGCACGTCGAAGCCGAGGACCCGGCACGGGGCCCGGCACTCGCGGGGGAGCAGCATCGGCGCCGGCGGGTGCAGCCGGAGCACCTCCTTGATGACGAGGTCCAGGTAGCGCAGGCCCGCCAGGCTCTCCTCCGTGACCCTGTCGCGCCCGTCGAGAGCTCGCCGGACCTCCTCCTGCGCCTTGCGCATCACCCTCGGGTTCCTCATCAGCTCCGCCATGGCCCACTGCAGCGCCGTCGCCGACGTCTCGCTGCTCGCTATGAAGATGTCCTGTCCGAGTTGAAGCAGAGGAAATTAGTCGCCGACGTACGGTGTTGAAAAATTCTCCTGCATTGTAGTACGAGATGAGAAGCTTACGACGATGACTGCCTTGATGTCGTCGGTGGTGAGGGGAGGATCGAGCTTCCCCTCTCCCTGGATCCTCAGGAGGACGTCGAGAAAGTCGTCGCCGTCGGCGCCGGCGCCGGCCGGGTTGTTCTCTTGATGCTCCTGGATGATGGCGTCGATGAGTCCCTCATCTCCCGGCGCTCCCGCTTCATCTCGCGCGGCATCCGGCTGACGAGCATCGCGAGCCGCGACGACGGGAAGAGGTCCGGCAGGGACTGCGCCGGCGCGAGCTTCATCCTCCGCTCCAGCATCCGGAGGAACGCGCCGCGGTCCTTGAACCGTCTGCCGATGACGGCGCGCACCGACGAGTCCGCGACGTACGCGCTGATCCGCTCGCTCAGGTTCACCGCCGACGACGGAGACGGAGACGGCGCCACCGCCACCGACCGGAGCAGCCGCGCGACCTCCTCCTCGCGCACGGGCCGGAAGGACCTGACGCGGCGGGAGGTGAAGAGCTCGAGGGCGCAGATCTTGCGGAGCTGCCGCCACGCGTCGCCGTAGGGCGCGAACACGATGCCCAGGCTGTCGCCGAGGAGGGCCGTCCCCGTCGGGGTCATGGGCCGCGACGCGAACGCCAGGTCCTGGGTCTTCATGATCTCCCGCGCGGCGTCGGCCGAGGAGGCGACGACGACGCGGAGCTCGCAGAGGCGGAGCAGCATGAGCGGGCCGTGGCGGCGCGACAGGCCCAGCATCGCGCGGTGCGGGAGCGCGCCGGCGACGTGGTGGAGGTGGCCGATGACCGGCAGCGCCCACGGCGACGGCGGGGGCCGCGGCCGGCTGCTTCCCTCCTCATGCCGGCGGGACGACCGGATGAGGTAGAGCACGGGGACGACGACGAGCAGGGCAAGGAAGAGCATGGAGAGTGGAGCTAGCTCGGCCATGGCTCGATTGACTCTGACCTCCGATCCGAGCTAACGCAGCAGAGCTTCTCTTCGTCTGTGTGTGCGTGTAGCGTAGCGTAGTAGACCAGCAGGAGCAGTAATTTTTTAGCACTGCTATACACACGACGGATGGACGCACGACCCACAGACGACAAGGCAGGTAGACCGTAGGATTAGCTGGGGTTTTTAATCTGTGTGGCTCCTGCTCCCGTCGGGCACACATCGTCCAGCAGTCAATCGTGTGCAGAGCACTTTCGGTAATTTTTTGTAGTCAGCGTTCGCCTGATCTTAATCTGGTCAATATCCTGTAGTAGACCAGTAGAAGCGTTCTGTACGCTACACTGACGCTTTGCCCAACCACTCACTCACTCTGAAAGCGATTTTCTTAGCGTAGCCAGTTTCTTCTAACGGAGTTCAATCCACCATCCATGTTTGACTTGGGCGAGTATTTATTATAGTAAAAACTATCATTTGACAAATCCGCATCTCAGGCATTGTGTACCACTGAACTATCATTTGACAAATTTTGCCTAAAAACTACCTAGGCGGTGGCTGAAGAGGAGAGTGGTTTTTCTAGCGGGTAATGGGATGCGGCGCATTTCGATTGGGGGATGTGCGCAGGTATTGCCCTACTATGGCAATACTATACATTGTCTGACACATATATTCCCTCCGTTACCAAATATAAGTTTTTTTAGCAGTTTTGCTAAAGCACATGTAGATGTGACATAAATATTGCACATCTAAGTCTTATGTCATTGATCATACATTGAGATTCGTGTGGATATTTTCTTTTTTCTTTTTTCTTTTTTTATGTTTGATTCACTCACTTAGATGTGCAATAACTAGAGCATATTTAGATGTGCCCTAGACACACCTTTTTTTTAGAGATTCCGCTATGGACTACATACGGAGCAAAAAGAATGAATGTACACTCTAAAATATGTCTACATACATCCGTATGTAGTTTGTAGTGAAATCTCTAAAAAGACTTATATTTAGGAACGACGGGAGTACATCACACTATCTTCTCTCTTCTTCAATCCAACTAACTTTCTTATCCACCTCTATGACTTGTGGGATAGCTAATGAGGAGGCCCCATGACAAACTGACTAGTGGGTATGTTTGAACTAAAAAGTTAGTAGTACATCTCACCCACCAGTGCTTTTCAGTCTGATTACATAGTTTGTATCAATTTTATCTTTTGAACAAAATATCCGATTGACAAACCGTTTGGATATTAGAACTCATGATATTTAAATCTTCAAAACAAGATAAATTTTGCACACAGTTGAATTTTTTTCAAATTCAAATTACTTTTACGTTGCATGTTTTCATTGCTTTTTCAATCCGGACATCGTGTACTATTTCATTGAGGTTTCATTTCTATTTTGGGTCTTGAAATAAGTTTTCATATCGTTTTGTTAAATTAACTTTCATGGCTGGGATGTGTTCTAAAGGCGTTATTTTCATAATTTTCTGTACGATTTCATTTATGTGCCACGACTATTTTACATGTTTTCATTATTTTTTTCATGCATTCTCTTTTGCATGTTTCATTATTGTACCATCTAGTATACTCACTTCATTCACAATAGTATATGACACGCATGTCATAAAAAGCATACCCTCGAATTTCTATGTGAAAGGAGTTTGTGATGATATAACCTTTATATCATACTTCCTCCATCGCATAATATAAGAGTGTTTTTGACACTACACGAAAGACGTCTCATATCTTAAGAATGGTGTTCCAATGATACAATCATCTAGAAACCATACCAAGCTCATGAATGAACTTTCGATTCATCACCCTTAATTTTTGCTTTTAAAACAATAATATACTTAGCCTTCTATTATAGAATTCACCACAGTAACTTTCTTGGACCAATTCCAACTTAATGTGCCACCATAATCACTTTTAATTTGAAATCGAAAAATCACTTGGAGTACAGATGAAGATTTTATTGATGTACTACTTATAACGATCCTTCATTGATGTAACTCCTTACAATAATCTCTTCATTTTCTCCGTGTGTGAGAAACATGTTGTTAATCCTTAACAACATTTTCATAGTTGTCCTATGATCAACAATTTGACCATACTAGTAACTTTTACTTATAACTAACTTGGAGTATTGGAAATATCTGGTTGTTTACATTGAAAGTGCGTTATATCGACTAGAGGGGGGGTGAATAGGCGATTTTTATGAAAGTCTTCAAAATGTGGGAGTTATGAAGACAAACAGCGAAGATTATGCCTATTACTATGCAGCGGAAGTTAGATTACACTAGGCCAGCCATGGTCAAGTATTCAATAGAGTGAAAGCACAACGACAAACAACTGTTGTGTAATAAGGATCAGGTAGGAAGAAGTTATGAAGCCAAACAGATCATACATTCATGTTGTGAAGACAAAAGATAAAGCAAGCATGCAATGTCTTCACAATGAGTAACAGTAAGAAAAGGAAGTGAAGATGAAACCAGTGACTCGTTGAAGACAATGATATGTTGGACCAGTTCCAGTTGCTGTGACAACTGTACGTCTGGTTGGAGCGGCTAGGTATTTAAACCTTAGGACACACAGTCCTAGACACCCAGTCCTGAACACACAGTTCAGGACACCAAGTCCTCACCGTATTCTCCTTGAGCTAAGGTCACTTAGTCCTCGCCCAATCACTCTGGTAAGTCTTCAAGGTAGACTCCCAAACCTTCACAAACTTCATTCACTGGCAATCCACAATGTCTCTTGGATGCTCTGAACGCGATGCCTAACCGTCTGGAGGATTCACAGTCCTCAAGTGTAATAAGTCTTCAGATCACACAGACAAGAAGACTTAAGTGATGCCCAATTTACTCTGGCTCTGGGTGGTTAGGGCTTTTCTCCTCGCTAGGAATTTTCTCTCAAAGGCTTCCAGGTGGGTTGCTCTCAAACGACAAAAGCCGTGCACTGAAATCTGAGCAGCCA